GGAGAGAGGAGGGAGGGGTGGAGAGGAGAGCAGGCGAGCTGGTACAGTTCCGCGGGCGAGAAACTAACGTCTTCATCCGGCCTCATTCTCCTTTGTCAAATCTCCCCTGCGTGGAGGCACCTCGCGCCGCCTGTCAGCCGCGCGCCGCAGGTGAACGTCTCTACAAGGGCCGCCGGAGCTCGCGGCTCCCGGGCCCACAGCGCGCGGCCGAGCTCGGGGCCCGGGTCACCAGGGGGCAAACAGGACAGATCTGCGAGGCAGGCGAGAAACGTTGTTATTTCAGCTCAGTACGCGCACAGCTGCCGCAGCGGGGCGGACGGGGCCGTGCCCTGTGTGTTCGGGCCCTTCTGGGTCCAGACTGGGGCGTCTGTCTCGCCCCCGTCACCGCAGGACCCGCCGTGTAGGTGTCGTCGTGTCCGGGGCTTGAGCGACGTTCCTCCAGCCCGTTGCAACAACAGCAACGCAAAAGACTGGGAGACCTGGCAAAGCGCAAAGTTAACAAAACCCCGACAGCAGAACTTAGTCTCTTAGCTTTTGAACTAGCGATCCGACAGCACGGGGCGAGCCAGCTCTTCCGCTATCAGCGCCTGTGCTTCCACACGCCGACACCAGCAGCAGCTCCTTCTGCCGGCGCGAAGCGAGGGCCGAGCGCCCTCCCTCCGGCGCCCCGCTGGCCGCCAGACCCGCTCGGGTCCGGGCTGCGGGCAGCGCGCTCGGCCGGCGCTGGCGACCCGGAAGACAGGGTGCCGTCTGACGCAGCAGGAGGTCGCTCTGTTTTTGTGTACCTGCCTGGGCAGACAAGTTTATTCCCTCTCTTATTTTGCATGAGGGAGAGAGGGGGGGGCGAGGCAGAGAGAGGGGGAGAGAGAGGAGCTGTCTGACGGCGCTCAGCCCTCAGAAACGCGGACGGTCTCGACCTGCACGCACGCGGCTCGTGAGCGGTGAAGGACAGCGCACGGGGACACGGGCACCGAGCTCCGCGCGCCGGCGGCGGGACCCCTCTCGTGAGTAGCAGCGCTTTACCTCCTCGCGCTCGGATCTGCGTTTCCACATTGCCTCCGGGCTGTTTGACAATAACTTTCGTCTTTTTTTCTGCCCAGTTTCATATCATTCTTGGATTTTCTTTTGTTTCCTACGGACTTCATTCTGATTTTATTCTTTTAAATGACAGAACAGTTACGCTTTGTTTCAGCTCGAGGCACAACACAAGTTCGCTTTGTTACTGCCGCTGGCGGGGAGTTTTGAGAGTCGAGTTTGAATTGTGTTTCTTGTCTATAGAAGAGTTTTATACATTGAATAACGGCAGAGGTTTTATTTAAAAATAGAAAAGTCCAGCTCGGGTATTCACAGCATAATATGAAAATGTCTGAAGTTTTCTTTCTCGGAAAGCGGAGAAAGACAACTACCGTAGCAAAAGAAGAACTTAAATATTATTGCACTATCAAAAAAAAAACACTACATTTACAAGAAAAAGTGCTGTTGTCCTATAGCAAGAAATACGAAACCAAACGGCACGGTAACTCAAGGTTCTCCTGTCTGGGATTGGGATACATGTCAAATAGAGGATCGTTGTATTTTAAAAGATGTCGATGCCTAATTTGTATTTTTCGTTGACAAAGTAGCAGCAGTGCGGTTTGCCGGCCAGCAGCCGCGCTCTGAGCTCGCGGGTGTGTAAACGGCGCTCCTGTGTTACCTGGACAGCGCGAGACACCGTGCCTCGCGCCAAGCCCCACAGACCGTGACAAGACACGCATCGCGAGCCAGAAAAACTGGCACGCAGCGCCCCAGCGCCGGCCGCGTGGCTCCCGGTGCGTGGGGAAAGATGGCATATAATTTATTTTTTTTAGCCCTATATTTTAAAAAAGGAGCAATAAGAATTTTACAAGGGTGGACAGAGTTTCTGCAAAGCAGATAATAACTGACTGCGTTGATGTAGAACTTGCTATTAAAAATGTGTTAAATTCATAAAAGGTATAAATAAATGAATAGTGACCGTAAAGGATTGTTAAACCACCATTAACAATCCTGTCTAACTGTCACGATAGAGCAGCGAATTCACACAATTTACTGAAGTCCAGCAGCTTGTGAGCTAGTGTCCCTTGTGCATAAACAGACAGGCTCCGATTATTATTATGATTATTAATAATAATAATAACAACAGTAATAAAGACTTATTGTTTACAGTTAATAATAATAATAAT